GGGTGGGCTGGGCCGGATCGGACCAAAGGCTGAGCGGATCCCCGCCTCGCCCCTTCTCCCCCAGAGGCCAAAGAGATGCCCGCCAGCAGGGGGCGCCGTGCGCGCCCCCCCCCTTGGTAATCGGAGATCTACTGCCTCTGGCCATGGAGGTTCCACCGCGGCTCGTGATAGATCGCTGGATAGGCACCGGAGCTCCCTGGGGTATCTCTAGCCACCTGACACGACACGAGGCACGGGTGTTCCGGTTACCGTATATTGGGCCGTTTCCTCTTTTATTGCTTTTGTGGGTTGGATGCTGTAAAGCCACCCGTGACCCGGAGACCACTGCTGGGATAGGGATCAGTATCAATTCAATAAATGAAATGAAAAAATACATACATGGGATGGGTAGGCCGTTTGGTGTCGTGGTGAGGAGCAGCCGCTGGGCGGCTTTGGGTCAGTCACGAGTTCTCTCAAGGGCAGTCCTCAAAGGAGCTCTCTCAGCCCTGCCTACCTCACAGGGTGCCTGTTGTGGGGAGGGAAAGGAGATTGCAAGCTGGTCTGAGAATCCAAGTGAAGGGCGTGGTATAAATCCACCTTCTTCTTCTCCAAGTGAAGAGCTGGGTATAAATCCAACTTCTTCTTCTTCTCATAAGAACATAAGAGAAACCAGTGTTGGATCAGGCCAGTGGCCCCTCCAGTCCAACACTCTGTCACACAGTGGCCAAAAATACCAGGTGCCATCAGGAGGTCCACCAGTGGGGCCAGGACACCAGAAGCCCTCCCACTGTTGCCCCCCCCACCAAGCACTACTACTACTATGACTTCTTCTTCTTCTTCTTCTTCTTCTTTTCTTTCTTCTTCTTCTTTTCTTTCTTCTTCTTCTTCTTCTTCTTCTTCTTCTTCTTCTTCTTCTTCTTCTTCTTCTTCTTCTTCTTCTTCTTCTTCTTTTCATGTCAGTCTGTAGCAGGAGAAAGAGCGAGAGTCCAGTAGAACCTTCAAGACAAACAAAATTTGGGGCTGGGAAGGAGCTTTCGTCAGTCACCGCTCACTTTGTCAGACTCTTCCTGTGACTAGTGGCTATTGGTGGACTTCTCCCCCTCCCTCATCTGGCCAATCCGCCTTTTAAAGCCTGCTGTGCTAGAGTGGTCCATCTCACATCCTGGGGCGGTGAGTTCCCCAGGTTAAGCATTTCTTGTCTTTTTGCTGTGAAGTCACAACAGGTTTTTGCCCACCCCATAGGGTTTTGAAGGCAAGAAAGGAACAGAGGTGGTTTTGCCCTTGCCTGCCTCTGCGTAGCAACCCTGGACTTCCTTGACCATCTCCCAGCCAGGTACAAACCTGGGCCAATCTTGCTTGAATCTTACAAGACTGGGCAAACCTGGGCCATCCAGGCCAGGGCCTTGAATTCACAGGCTCACAATAAATTGGAAGCAACTGGCTGGGGTGGCTCAGAGGTTAAGATGCTGAGCTGCAGACCGGAAGGCTCGGCAGCTCGAGACACGAGTGCCGCGTGACGGAGTGAACTCCCATCTCCGGCCCCAGCTCCTGCCAACCTCGCAGTTCGAAAGCAAAGAAACTGCAAGTAGATAAATAGGTGCCGCTTCGGTGGGAAGGGAGCAGCGTTCCATGCACCTCGGCCACGTGACCACGGAAACGTCTTCGGACAGCGCTGGCTCTTCGGCTTGGAAACGGAGATGAGCACTGCATCCCTAGAGTTGGATTCGACTGGCTTTCGAGCGATGGCTTTCTAACTTGACTGGCTTTCTAACTTGATGAGACACACAGTCTACACACAGTGCCCCTGATGTTACCAGCTCTGGGTTGGGAAATTCCTGGAGATTTTTTTTTGGGGGGGCGGAACCTGGGGAGGGCATGGTTTGGAACAGGGAGGGACTTCAGCAGAGTATAATGCCATCGCGTTTGCCTTCCAAAGCAGCCATTTTCTCCAGGGGAACCGATCTTTGTCGTCCGGAAATCAATTGTAATATTGGACAATCTCCAGGTGCAGCCTGAAGATTGGCAATCCTTGGCACCACTGGCTTTTCAGTTCCACCTGCCTCTGGCCCACTCTCTGTCTCCGCGCGCTGAATCACCGCGTGGATCAGGTACGCATGCCAAAAGCACACACACACACACACACGCACACCCCTTGGGCGCTCGACAGGGTGACTGTTTGAACTAGAGGGATCCTATCTAGTGCCGCTGTTTATTGCTAAGGGTAAAAAGGCAACCACAACAAAGGCTCTTAAACAAAGGGGCTTTCTTGACTAGGGGATCTTGAGAATATCCAGGGGGAAGTTGGTTTTAAATCTTGCAGGGCATCTTTTACCACCGCACAGAACCACGCTTGGATGACTCGAGCAAAGTGTTGAAGAAGAAGAAGAAGAAGAGGAGGAGGAGGAGGAGGAGATTGGATTTATACCCCGCCCTTCACTACCCAAAGGAGTCTCAGAGCGGCTTACAAACTCCTTTCCCTCATCCTCCCCACAACAGACACCCTGTGAGCAGTGTTCCCTCTAAGCTGAGTTAGTGTGAGCTAGCTCACAGTTTTTAGCCTCCAGCTCACACATTTTTGTCTTAGCTCAGGAAGGATAGGTCTAGAGCAAACTAATTGATGCAGCAGCCAAATCGCTTGCTCACAACTTTAATGACAGTAGCTCACAAAGTAGAATTTTTGCTCACAAGACTCCACAGCTTAGAGGGAGCATTGCCTGTGAGGTAGGTGGGGCTGAGAGAGCTCTTTCAAGAACTGCCCATGAGAGAACAGCTCTGAGAGAGCTTGTAACTGACCCAAGGTCACACCAGCAGCTGCATGTGGAGAAGTGGGGACTCAAACCCAGTTCTCCGAGATTAGAGTCTGCACTCCTAACCCATTACACCAAACTGGCACTGTAGCAGTTAGTCAGTCTGTAGCAGGAGGAAACATCAAGAGTCCAGGAGCAACTTATAAGACTAACAAAATTCGTGGCAGGGGAGGAGCTTTCGAGAGTCACCGCTCACCTCTTCAGAAGCCGATGGTGAAGTGAGCGGTGAACCATTGAAGAAGTGAGCAGTGACTCATGGGAGCTCCTACCCTGCCACAGATTTGGATAGTCTTTAAAGCAAAGGTGTCAACATAAGCCCGGCTTAAACTGGAATAGGGCGATTAACAATTCAAATAAACAGGAACAATAATAATAATAAGGGGCAGGGGACGGAACGGGCCCATCCAGGGCTCTTACCTGGCCTGCAAGCAACTGGTATGTATGGAAGTATAAAGTACTTTCCCCACTCCTCCACATGCAGCCAGCTGGGTGACCTTGGGTCAGTCACAAGTTCTCTCAGAGCGCTCTCAGCCCCACCTACCTCACAGGGTGTCCGTCGTGGGGAGGGGAAGGGAAAGGAGATTGTAAGGCACTCTGAGACTCCTTTGAGTAGTGAAGGGTGGGGTATAAATCCAACTCTTCTTCTTTGGCTCCAAAGAAGCCAGTTTGGTGTAGTGGTTATTTTGATCTGGTTAAGTGTGTGGACTCTAATCTGGGAGAACTGGGTTTGATTTCCCACTCCGCCACTTGCACTTGGCTGGATGACCTTGGGCAAGCCGTAGCTCTGATAAGAGCTGTCCTTGAAAAAGAGCAGTTTCTGTCAAGAGCTCTCTGAGCCCCACCTACCTCAGAGGGTGTCTGTTGTGGGGAGGGGAAGGGAAAGGAGTTTTTAAGCCTCTCTGAGACACCTTTGCGTAGTGAAGGGCGGGGGATAAATCCAATCTCTTCTTCTTTTATAATATCCCTTGGGGGGGGGGGAATTCGTCTTGCATATGATTAAATACATTTATTGGGGCTTTTGTGGGCTTCCCAGTAAATCAATTGCTTTCACTGCTAGGAATCCATTGCTCTTGTTTGTATTTTGAGTAAAAAAATAACGTTGTCAATTGGGTTTGCCTGTGTCCCTTATGAAGTTTATCTCTCTGGTACCTGGCATTACATCTTATGGCACACGTGGCCCGGCCCAGTGAAGCGTCATTAATGTCAGATCCGGCCCTCGTAACAATGAGCTGGACACCTCTGTCTTAGTGTAAATGTAGGATTTCAGTTTTGAGTAGTGAATCAAGCAATGCAGTAACATCTGAGCCCCCCTCCCAAACTTGTTCTGTGCCAAGCCAGGATTGATGTGACTAATTGCTTTGCTTTGCTCGACTTTCTGCCAAAGGACCGAAGGCAATGTAGAAATACTCAAGGCCCCGTCTGGAGGCTGGCAACCGGAGGGAGTGCTGGTCTTTTCGCCCCACCTGGGCTACCGAGAGCGCAACTGACTATCGGAGAAAAAGACATTGGATTTATACCCCGC